GGAGGGCATCTGGAGAGGTAAGACGTTTATTTTAAATACCCTGGCTAGTTTCCACTGTTCAGTCAATCTTTTGCTGACTATACCACATATGTCCCTTTGCTTGGCATCATAATATACTTTTGTGAAGTGTCGCCGTTGACTTGAGCAGTTCTCAGTTGTAATTTGACTAATCTTATCCGTCCTTTTAATCATAGTTGTACCTATAACAACAGCTGCTAGTACAAGTTGACATATATGATTACACATCTGTTTGTTTAGCTATTGACTAGTCTCCTGGTTTTTCACTATGCTCTGAAAATCCTGTCAGTATTAGAACATACCGTGATTTATTAAATAACAGTTTGCAAAGTGTTGAACATTGTGCAATTACAGTTGGACCATGAAGTGGTTTAAGTTTTCAATGATGAAATATAAAGTCACACATGTCGCTGGGCTGAGTTATAACTGGCATTATTCGCTGTCCATGGTGCTGATAGCTTTTTTCTCATGTCTTGAGATTCCTGTTAATACATGTTACCACTCCTTTGTAAATGCAGTTACCTCATACTTTTTTGTTCATAAATATTTAACGAATGAAATTCAAAGTTATTATATGTAAGCATCAAACATTTTGGGCGGATTGGATGTCTCTATCTTCAGTCAAAAGAAGTGTTTGGTCACTTGAAGGAATCTCCTCACCTGCCACCCACAATGCATAGGGTCAACGTAAATAAACATAAAACTTTGCCACTCTGCAATAAAAATAGCTGAAGAAACTATAATTTCCTTGTAGTGAGCACAGACATCGCATGGTGTCAGTGTGTTAGGAAAAAAATGGCCATAGCTCATCGTCACTGCATTTAGGTTCCACCTCTTTTTAGCCCTCTCAGTTCGATACTGGCAGAATCGCTTGGTGGCTTTCTGCTGCCTTTCTGCTGCCTTTATACATACTGCCCCGTGTTTTTAACATTTTTGAAATAGAGCGAACATTTACATACCCAGATATGTTGGATTGATTGCCTACAATTTACCCCGTGAGGAATCGATAACAGTTTAATTTGTGATAATGGAACAAAGAGGACGCGAGGTAAGAAGGGCGAGAAGACGGTGGATCGGCTTCGTGGTTGCGGTGCTTTTGTGGACTGTGGCCTCAGCGCAATTAAGATATTCCATCTCTGAGGAAGTTAACGAAGGAACTGTGGTCGGGAATATAGCAAAGGATTTGGGATTAGACAAGAGCACGTTGAAAGACAGGAAGTATCGCATTGTTTCTAGCGGTATGGAACCTCTTTTCCATGTAGATCAGAATGAGGGCATCCTGTACGTAAGCCGGAAGATTGACAGGGAAGAAGTATGTGAGCGAAGCAGCACCTGTTTGATAAATCTGAAAACAGTGCTAGAAAATCCACTGGAGGTACACTACGTAGGAGTGGAAGTCCTGGATATAAACGATCATTCTCCCAGTTTCCCAGAGAAAGAGAAAACGCTGGAGATTTCAGAGTCTGTTTTACCCGGAGTGCGTATTCAGCTAAAAGCAGCTCGCGATCCAGACGGTGGTCCCTTCTCTGTTCAGCACTATAAACTCAGTCACAATGACCACTTCCGTTTAGAAGTTAAAGATAAAGGAGAAGATGGTAAAATACCAATATTAATTGTTCAAAAATCATTAGACAGGGAAACTGCAGGAAGTCACTCATTAGTGCTGACCGCGCTGGATGGAGGTAAACCTCCGAAATCTGGTGACATGAATATTATAGTAAATGTTTTAGATGTTAATGATAACGCACCAGTTTTCTCTAACGATGTTTACTCCGTGATGCTCGATGAAAATGCCCCAGTTGACAAAATAGTCGTACAAGTGAATGCAACTGATTTAGATGACGGCCCGAACGGAGATGTAGTTTATTCCTTTAGCAACAGTGTGAGTCATAGATTATTAAACTTGTTTGATATCAATCCATCGACAGGTGAAATAACTGTGAAAGGTATAATAGACTATGAGGAGAAGGACAAATATGAAATTGAAATTCAAGCATCAGATAAAGGTCTGGCTCCTCTGACTACAGAAAAAAGCGTCATTATAAAGAGCGTAATTATCAGGATAGTTGACGTTAATTGATAATGCCCTGAGATTGGAGGTTACCTCATTTTCAAGTTCAATCCCTGAAGATTCCAGAACTGGAACTAACAGTTCCCTAATCAGTGTAAATGAAACTTGGACTTCTGGAACTCAATGGAAAATTATTTGTGCTGAAATGAGGATGTTCCGTTTGCTTGTCCACCGTTCCTTCAAGAAAAATGTATTCATTAGTAAACCAAATCCCCCTCTGGACGAGAGAAACAGTCACAATACTGAAAACTAACAATTACGGCAAAAAAGACGCTGGTCAACCACCATTATCATCTGAAAAGACAATAAGTTTGTTGTCCAGATGTGAATGACAACAGTCCCAGAGTTTTTACTGAGTTCCATATACTTTCTATGCAACAGAGGGTAACCATCCAGGGATCTCTCTTTTTTCTGTTAAAGCTTTTTGATCCGCGATGAGAATGACAATGCTCCTTTATATCCTATCATATTCTCAAGAGATGTGAAGCCAGGAAAAGTAAAATTGCTTCAAATTTCTAAACCATTAACATCTGAAAATGAGAATAATGGCACTAAAAGTTTGGATTTTTGTAACCTCTGAAAACGTTCAGTTCCAAGTTTTGTTGCCCTCAATTCTGGAACTCGCACTAAAGCAGCAACGCACAGTGAACTGTTCATTCATGGGATCCAGAACGAACAACGCTCAGTACCATCCTGTATCCAGTCAGCTCCAACGGTTTCTGCTGAAAGTGTGGAGAGATTCCCCGCAATGTGAAAGCAGGGATAACAAACTTGTGGACTAAAGTCAGAAGCCTATGACCGCTGATTATAGGATATAACGGCTGGTTACTGTTTTCACGCAGGAATTACTCGAACCACAGTCTCCTTTGTTTTGACCGCCTATATGAGGAACAGATCAGAACACTTCGCTCATTCAACAGACGACAGACGAGCCCGAGCACTAAACTGGTCATACTGGTGAAAGACAATGCAAACGTTTCACTCCTCAGCAACAGCTACTGTGATTGCCAAACTTGTGGAGCAAAGAGGCTTTGCCTGCTTCTGATGTTTTAAAAAGTTTCAACAAAGGATAGGAGGGAATGATGTGACTTTCCCTATCTGAGATAACTTTGGCTCCAGTTTCTGTACTTTTTCTTCGTCAGTATCATCGTGCTGATTGCAATGCAGTGCTCGTAAATCTACAGACTATACTTCCTAAATATCTACAAAGCCTAATTATGACGGGACCATCTGTGGTCCACGCATCCAGTTACCAGATCTGGAGACAAACGGTACATGTTAGTTGGACCCAGGAATGAAGTATAGATCTAACTATAGTGCCGGCAAGCCATGCAAATACGACAGGAGGAGTGCATCTGGAGAGGTAAGGCACATTTATACATGCGTGTTGTGTGTTGTTTAGTTTAGTTTTTCTCCCCTAAATTGCTTGGAGGTATTACTATTAGAGGTAGCATTAGGGGATATTTGTGTTTTTATCGGCATTTGAGGAAAATGTATCCACTTACATACATATTCAACAGATTCAACTAACCAGATCTGGAAATTTCACACCAAGTGTTTCTTTTTATCCAGATTATAAACTGGAATTGGTATCTGAGATGATCTCATGTGTTAAATCATTTTCCTATAAGGAAAGTGCATTGTTAAGTGATTGTTAAATGTTGGCAAATAACTCAAATAGTTGGTTGAGATTAGGAAAACACTGTGGTCTAACTCGCGTCAGTGAATATCCTTATTTAGTTGTAGTTACATTTGAA